AGGTATAGTGGCAACAACAGTTTAAGGCAACCAAACTTGGGGTCATCAGCTTCCGTACACTCCCAGGTAACAGTGACCTACCGGAGAACATATCTGCTCTAAGCTTTGGAGGCTGCTCCCCCTTTCCACCTACTCCATCCCACTCACCCATCTGTCAGTTTCCCACAGAAACCTATCCTTCAGCCACCCCAAATCAAGGACGCATTGCCCAGGCCGGGTGTGGTGGTGCACACCTTTAATCCCAGCACTCGGGAGGCTGAGACAGGAGGATCCTTGCAAGTTCAAGGCCAGCCTGGGCTACATAGTGAGTTCAAGGACAGTCTGAATTGCATATTGAGACTCTCAAAAAACAAAAGGACACATTGCCCTAGGTTTAAAGATCTCTCCGTGGTTATCAAAGAGACAAAGGGGGAGGAACTTGTTATTCCAGTACTTTGGGAGTCTGAATCACGAGGCTCGAAATTTCAAGCACAGCCTAGGCTACATAGCAGATTTAGCAAGAGTCTCTCAATAACAGTAATAATAATAATAACAACCGGGAATGTAGTTCGGTGTGAAGACCCTGAGTTCAGTCCCAGAAAAAAAAAAAAAACAACAGCCACAGATAAGTTCTTGTGATTTTCCCTGTCTTCTACTATCTTATATTTATAGGGGTCAGGAACAGAATCAGGTATTAGGCATGGATAAATTAGTCCTTGAGATGTTCCGAATGCTAGTATATTGTGGAAAGGTGGGGCAGAATTTATAAGCACTTCAAGAGGTTTTTTTTCAGGGCGGCGGTTTGTGGTACTGGGGATTGAACTCAAGGCCTTCACACTGAGCCACATCTCAGCCTCCCCTCCTTCTAAAACAGGGTCTCCTTAAATCCCTAAATTGCGCAGGTGGGGCTCGAATTTGCCCCTTCCTGCTACAGCCTCCCAGCGTTCTGGGATTACAGGCTTGCAAGTCTAGCTTCACACTTAAAAGATCTTTCCCCTTTCTCTTTCTAAAAACTGGTAGGCTCCCCGGGGAGAATCTCATGACAGCAAGGCAGAGAGAGGGCAGGAAATATTAACCACGCCTGTGGGCTGCAAGGGCACGCAGTTCTTGTACCTGCTCTAGTCCTGCGTGAATTAGGCTGTGGCTGGATAGGCCAAGGAACGTTACATTTCGGATAAACATTGCATTTTCAAGTAAAAGGAATGTGTTGGAGTTAAATCCGCGTTTTATATTTTCTAGAATCGTTTAGAAAAATTGTTCCATTAGTTTTTGGCCAAAAAGCACTCATATTCATATTATCGCCTGTTTGTCACTTATTTATCTGTCCCTAAAAAGGATGTGTTAGTGGGTTCTACTGTAAATGAGTACTGCACTTGACAACCGTCCTTACACACAAATTTGAACTCTTCCCGCGTTTAGAACTGGGATGGCCGAACCGCCGCAGGCCTCGGTGTTGGGCAGGTCGCGCTCCAGGTGTCCCGTGGAGGTCGCGATGCCCGCGACTCCCGTTCGCACGGCGGGCTCAGCACCACCGCCCCGCCCCGCTCCCCCGCCCCCTCCCCCCCGCGGCCCTTCTCCGGACGCGGCCAGGAAATTCGCTTCCTAAGCCGGGCGGAAACTGCGCTCTCAGCGGAGCCGCGGCGAGGGGCGGGGGTTGGAGAAGCACGCGGTCGCGCGGGTCGACTCGCCAGGACGCAGACGAGCACCCCCTCGCGGCGGCCCCACGCCGCCCGGGGTTGCGGGGTGACTGCCCGGCGCGGGACGGAAGCGGCGCGGGAAGCGACGCCC